ATCTATCTATCTATCTATCTATCTATCTATCTATCTATCTATCTATCTATCTATCTATCTATCTATCTATCTATCTATCTATCTATCTATCTATCTGCAGGTGGGCTGCACTAATGAGTCACACAGATTTAAACCACACAGAGTGGAGGCTAATTGAAGAAGAAGGTGGGCAAGAAGATGATTGGACTACAGTGATTTGAATGCAACCATCTGCTGATATTTTTGTTTTTATGGTGCAGCAAGAACGTCAAATGAAAATAACATCATCACCATCATCGTTTATTTATATAGCACTTTAAAAATACACAAGGCCGACCAAAGTGCTGAACAACAGAAACATAATAGATACCATAAGAATAATAAATACGATAAAATAATAAACATAGCGAAAACAATAAAATACAAGTCAGTCAACCACTGAATCAAAAGCCAGTGAATAAAAATGCGTTTTCAATCTGGATTTAAACACCAGCACTGATGTCGATCGCCTAATGTGAAGAGGAAGATTAGCTCAGGACCCATGATAGAGAACGCTCGGTCTCCTCTCAGTTTCAACCCTGATTTGGGGACTGAGAGCAACAGCTGCTCAGCTGACCGGAGCAAACGAGTGGGGACATAGGACTTCAGCAAATCAGACAGATACGCAGGTGCCAGACCATTTAAAGATTTAAAAACCAATAAAAGAACTTTAAAATGAATCCTAAATTCAATTGGAAGCCAGTGCAGGGAGGCCAGAACCAGAGTAATGTGCTCAAACGTCCTTCTACCAGATAAAAACCGTGCCGCAGCATTCTGGACTAGTTGCAGGCGTGTCAGAGTGCCCGGTCCAACCCCTATTAAAAGGGAGTTGCAATAATCCAAGCGTGAGGTTATAAAAGCGTGGATACCAGTCTCCAAGTCACGCCTTGAAAGAAAAGGTTTAACCTTCGACAGACGCCTGAGATGATAGAATGATGATTTCACCACCGCATTCACGTGGCCATCAAAGGTAAGTGCAGAGTCGATTTTTAACCCAAGATTGGTAATCGAGCTCTTCAGGTGAAGGGTCAGAGCAGCAAGGTCAACATCAGGGATATCAGAGGAACGATTCGGGCCGAACAGAATTGCTTCCATTTTACGTTCATTAAAATTTAAAGTTTTGAGCCATCCATGACTTAACATCACTAAGGCAATCAAGCAGGAGTCTAATTTGGGAGCTATCAGAACGACTGAAAGGAAAATAAAGCTGGCAATCATCAGCTTAAAGATGAAATGAAACTTTATGTTTACGAAAGATCGCACCCAGTGGTGCATGTTCTTAATGTCCTGACTCAAGATCCCATGTTAAAGAGTTTCTACATGCTTTACAGTACTGTGAAATTAATTTATATAGCATCCACAAATTGTCACTAGTTGATTCTTTACCAGTGTGTGCTTAATAATGAGACTTTACAGGGCGGCTTTCATTTTTTATTTTTGCATATAATTTGGAGCATTACACATCCTGGTTCATTTGAAGGTAATCCGGCTTTTTTAACATTTCAGGGTTTGATCTTTAGAAGTTTTGGAGATGTTGATGCTCAAACACTGCTGCAGATTTCAAATTTCAATCACGCCTCACACATCATCATGTTTCTGTGGTAAAAAAAAAAAACCTGAAGAAATTTAGCTTGAACTGAACTTTACTGACAAATTAATCAGAAAACCGAATCAATCACAGGAAAATCAATCAATATTCACATGAAGCTCAAGTTTCCAATCAGCTGCGTAACCGTGAGTAACACAGTGATGTCATCACCATCAAAGGCCTGCATCACTCCCTGATCTCATTTCGTCTCTCCATCTGATCAAAACCTTTGACCAGTAAGAGCAGAACCACGAGAGCAGCATCACAGAGGAAGTTTGGCCTCGAGCACGGCACCGTCAGATGAACTGGCGTCGGTGTGGCCCACGTGCTGCCTCGGTGTGACGGAGTCCAAGGGGTTAGCGGTGACCTCTGAGAACGCCTGCCTCTCTGATCTTCTGCTCGAGCCGTCAGCATCGCTCTCCATCCAGCACGACTTGCTGTCAGACACTGAGGATAGGCAGTTCTGAGCCTGGTGGCCATTGGTCCTGACGCCGGCATTAAGTCGACCTTTTGGCGAGCTGGTAAAAGTGGTACAGCGAGACGAAGTGGCGCTTGAGCTGAAAGAGGAGCGCAGGTCCTTCTCCTGCAGCCGTAGCACGCTGCGAAGAAAAGGGACATAGTGACCAATGGCAGCGCGGTACTTTGGGTGTGTGATGGCATAGATAATGGGGTTGTGGATGGCAGAGGCCTTGGCGATGACAGCTGGCACCGAGTTCATGTATGGAGTCAGCAGGTGTGCGTAGCCAGCGGTGGCGGTGAGAGCAACCACAGAGTATGGCGACCAGGAAACGATGAAGAGCAGGATTACTCCCAGAGCCACCTTAGCCATTCGCCACTCGCTGCGCAGACGCTCATATGCCTTGTTGACCTCGCCACAGTTCAGCTGCTCTATTTCCCGCCCCGCCTGCTGCACTGCCCGGAAAATGGCAAAGTAGCACGCAGCAATGACAGCGAGCGGGATGAAGAAGACGAAGGAGAACAGCAGGAGGGTGTAAGTGCGTACAGCAGCTGTAAAGCTCATGTAGTCCCAGCTGCAGGATGTCTGCAGGCCTTCAGGGACGTAGGCGCTCCACCCGAAGAACGGCGGCAGACTCCAGCCCAGAGAGTACAGCCACACAACTGCCACCACCACCAACACTCTCTGATGACTCACCCCACCCAGCATCGCCAGAGGACGCGTGATAGCCAGGCAACGGTCCACCGCAATTGCCGTCAGCGTTATCATGGAGGTGATGCCAAAGAGAGCACCGCAGAAGGCGTACAGCTCGCAGGCCAGCTCCCCAAACACCCAGCGGCGATGCAGGCTGGCCACAAAGAAGACTGGAGACTGTGTCAAGGACATCAGGAAGTCGGCGGCCGCCAAGTTAACCACTAGCAGGTTGCTGGGCGACCTCAGCGTCCGACTGCGACAGAACACGTAGATGACCAGGGCGTTTCCCAGCATGCCTGTTACCCCTACCAACAGGATGACTGAGCCAATGATGTAGTGGGCGTGGTCAGGGACATCCACGGTAGGAAACAGGTGAGACTGGGCGTGAGCACTCTGTGTAGGGGCGTGGTCAGGCAGGTGGAGCAGTTTAGACATCCTAACCTGGTGATGGTGCTCAGTGCAGTTTCCTCCCAGAGGGCACAGAGCTGACTTCCTGCTCGAGTGGATGTGACTCATTGCGATTGCAGCCGGATGCCGGCAGGACGTCCGTGTGGCGTTAACAGGATTTCCGTCGGATGATGCTGAACGCTAACCGGATCGGTTGGATGTGGGCTCGAGCTCTCTTAGTTGACTCTGCGTGCCGGCTCGGTCAGGCTGCGGCTCTTTATGTTGGCCTGATCGATGGATGGCGGCGCATTATCGAGTTGACCGATCCATTAACTCTCTGCACTCGGAGGAGAAGTAAACATCTGGATCAGATATGACCTGATTGCTGCAGGTTAATGTGGGCCGTTTCTGAGGTTAATGAGCTTTTAGTGAAAACACAGTCAGATGTTCGTTTATAGGTCACAGTGTTTCCTGTCCAAGTCCTAGAAATGAGCCAAATCATTAAGTCATGCCATTAGTCAAGGACAGAGGGGAAAACGGATGGTTTTGTTTTTCAGCGTTCAGAGCTCAGAGGTCAGTTTGTTCTTCCACTGAAATGGCTCAAAGACACAACCATGAAGAGGAGAGATCTGTGCAGTGTCACAGCGAGACGTCATAATCTCAGTATCTCAATACATTTTATTTGTTGGCGCCCTACTAAACCCAACCATTCCCAGCAGGTCCCTGAGGTCATGTGACCAGGGCTTGCTTGCTGTCCAGCACACGAGGCTGAAAACAAAAGGCGACAAAGCTTTTGGAACTGTGGCCCCCAGATTGTGGAGCTCTCTCCCTTTGAGCCTGAGATCTGTGGACTCAGTGGTCACTTTTAAAAAACAGCTAAAAACCCATCTTTTTAAACTTGCTTTTAGTTGATTTTTATTTTTAGGTTTTAGCTTCTGTGAAGCACTTTGTGATTTTTATCTTGAAAGGTGCTATATAAATAAAGTTTTACTTACTTACTTACCAAGCATAAAAGACAAGTAGTAAAAACCAGCATTGGACAACAATACTGGAGTCAATGTCAGAGAGGGTGAGCCAGTTTAAACAGATGGGACTCTTCCCCATAGTGGTGAGACGGGCAGAGGGAACAATCGGGTGAACGGCAGATGAAGACCCACGAGAACGAGAGGGAACGGCAACGTGGAGTGACTCACACAAGCAGGGATTGCCCAGGTTAGGGATACGTATGACAGCATTATTCTGAAGCAGAAAGTGGAACGCCACCTGAGGAGAGGGCAGGTTGGAGGAGCTGCCACTATCAATGGAAAACCTGTGGGATATGGTTAGAGTGGAAGCTGTGCTGACAAACTTTAGTTTTATTACTACAGAGTTTGAGAAAATAGGAGGAGAGCCATGATTTAACCTCCATGAAGCAGTCACAGAGGGGGATGGGTGAAAGGCTGAAACTGGGTTTGGAGGAAATATACAGCTGAGTGTCATCTGAGAAAAACCGGCAGACACAGGAAGTGAACTTTCAATAATGGAGGAGCAGTCCCAGTACCGAGAAAAGAGTCAATAATGGTGGTAATAAGAGGGACCAGTGAGGTAAGAATAGAAAAATCCTTTAATTTCACACAAGCGGAAACGCTCCTTCATGCATCGAGGATGCAGCAGTCTGTCACTGAAGCAGCTCTGCAGCAACATCTACATGCATGGGCTGGGAGACTCTGTCCATCAGAGATGTTATTTTGGCCAGAGTCCTTCTGTCTCCCACCACCTGCACTGGGTCCAGGGTGCATCCCAGAACAGAGCTGGCCTTCCTGATGAGTTTATCCAACCTCTTCCTGTCAGCTGTCGATAAACTGCTGCTCCAACATACCACACTGTAAAAAATGACAGATGCCACCACAGAGTCATAGAAGGTCTTTAAAAGCGCTCCCTGTGCTCCAAATGACCTCAGCCGCCTCAGCAGGTGGAGTCTGCTCTGACCCTTCCTGTAAAGAGCATCAGTGTTGTGGCTCCAGTCCAGTTTATTATTCAGGTGAACACCCAGGTACCTATAGGAGTCCACTATCTCAATGTCCACTCCCTGGATGTTCACCGGTGTCAGTGTGGTGGGTCTGCGTCTCTGGAAGTCCACCACCAAGAAAAGCTTAGACTAGGACAGTGGGAAGAGGGTCCCTGGGGAGATGATTTAGACTCTTGAATCATTACTGATACATCTGATACTGAGGGGAGAGTGAAACGTGAACATTAGTAAATGGTAAACAAAGACTACAGATCTCAAGCTGCAGGTGGATACAGAGCTGCAAAGGATACAAGAGAGGGTTAGGTTAGAGAAGGAAAAGAGTGTGGAGATGCAGGAATATTGTTAAACAAAGGAACTTTGGGTTACATGCACGAGAATAGAATAAACCACAATAGTATTTAGATTTGGCCGAGGCAGCACAGTTCTTATGAAACAGAATGTGATTATTAAACATTTCTTTCTTAAAGAGGAGTTTTGGTTGGCGCCCCTTAGATTTGAGAAACCCAACACGTTCTCACTCCCTAAGCGTAATATTTTACACTCAGTGACAAATCGTCAACATTTTACGCTCTCAGTTACCCAACACGTTCCTAAATTACAACATCGGAAAAAGGAGAACACATGAGAACCCTCTGGACTCAATCTACACATGTTCGTTCATTATCCTAAAATCGCTTTGGAAAACATTATTTTACGCCATTTAACTGCTGGTTAGGGTTATGGATAAGGTTAGGTTTAAGGCTGGAATACATGGCTGGAACATCTATTACCGTGGGACCAAAAATAATACAAAAAAATAAAAAAAATGATTACAAATTTTTTTAAAAACATTTTTAAGGACCAGAAGACTCACAGAAATGCTATATGTGTTAGCTAATCCGAGAGTTAGCTACAAGCTGCTGAAATATGGGACTGTTCATTTACAGTTACTGTACATGTATATACCATTACCTCTGCCACACAGCATTTTCAGTTATCTGTATTTATTTACTCTACTTTTTTAATAAAAATTTTCTTTATTCAATCTGTCTTCCTTCCCCCTCCCCAACCAATCACAGCAGATGGCCCCACCCCTGGTTCTGCTGGAGGTTTCTTCCTGTTAAAAGGGAGTTTTTCCTTCCCACTGTTGCCAAAGTGCTCATGGGGGTCATATGATTGTTGGGTTTTTCTCTCTATGTATTATTGTAGGGTCTACCTTACGATATAAAGCGCCTTGAGGCGACTGTTGTTGTGATTTGGTGCTGTATAAATAAAACTGAATTGAATTGATTTCGTTTATCTTATGTGCAGTTTTGACCTGCAGAATTTCGCTGCTGGAAGTGAAACTTGAAACAAAGCTAATGTGTGAGCTAACAGGAAATGCAGATGAGGAGTGGAATCTGTTTTTAAATTGTATTTGAAAAAAGATTTTGCTAAAACATGTTTTATTGCACACATTACTGAAGCACAAAGTCTGATGCTCGTTGTCCGTCCCCCTGACATGTGCTCAGAGTTACGTTTTTGGTTCCTGATTAATCAGAACCTGTTCAGTTCTGGCTAATTTTGAGCACTGAGTCCAGGTGAGCAGCAGGTGAGACGTCAGCTGCTTCACTCACGTTTGTCAGTTATTTCCAATGAAAATAGTATTCTAGTATTCACTGATTAATAATAAGCTGACTGTCACAGCCTTATGTGCTCATTGAGGCCTTTTCAAAGTTAAAAAGTGTTTAAGGCCTTCATATTTTCAAAGTAAAGGTCTGAGAGTGAATAAATAAGAACAGAAACAATTTTTTCTAAGCTTTTATTTTCATTAAAAAAGTCCACAAATAAAACTTTGTGCCGAGCCCCGTCACACCAGCGCATGTTCAGAACGCAGCTTGCTGGGAGGGGGTGTGGTGTCTGCGGACATGTCTCAGCAGCAGCTGGCGGTCCGGGCTTGAGTAGTCGCACTGTTGACATGGGAATGCCTCACCAGTGTGATGGCGGCGAGCATGGAGATCCAAACTCTTCTTCTGGATGCTGTTGAGAATAACAAAAACAGGGCTACCGATTGCTTTAGTAATCTATCAGTTTTTCCACAGATTAATCAGATCACACATCAATACTGATCAATAATGAATCCTGACACAGGTGTTTCAGGACGAACTGCTCATTGGTTTCCAAACTGCAAACAACATCCGTGAAAACACAGATAAACCCTTCGATTTATGAGTCACATTCAATTTAATTTTCTATTATTCGAAATACGGGGCAGCACGGCAGCACGGTGGCACGGTGGTTAGCACTGTTGCACAGCAAGAAGGTCCCGAGTTCAATTGCACCATCAGGCCGGGGTCTTTCTGTGTGGAGTTTGCATGTTCTCCCCGTGTTTGCGTGGGTTCCCTCCGGGTACTCCGGCTTCCTCCCACCGTCCAAAGACATGCAGCTTGTGGGGATAGGTTAATTGGTTAATCCAAATTGTCACTAGCTGTGAATGTAAGTATGAATGGTTGTCTGTCCCTGTGTGTTGGCCCTGCGACAGACTGGCGCCCTGTTCAGGGTGTACCCTGCCTTTCGCCCTATGACAGCTGGGACCCTGAAAAGGATAAGCGGAAGCGAATGGATGGATGGATTATTCGAAATACTTGAGCAGCAGAGTTTGTGGGAGCACAGGTGTGCGCCAGGTGTGTGTCAGGTGCGTGTCAGGTGTGTTACCTGCTGTAGTCACAGTGCTGACACCTGTATGGTTTCTCCTGGCTGTGAGTCCTGTAGTGTCGGAGCAGAGAGCTGCGATCGATGGACGCATACGGACACTCTGCACACCTGTACGGCTTCTCACCTGAGATCACACACGGGACGCACAACGTTACCTGACAGTCACATGACAAGGGCTCTCAGCTTTCTGTGTGTTACCTGTGTGAGTCCTTGTGTGTGTGTGTGTTACCTGTGTGAGTCCTCAGGTGTTGCAGCAGTGAGGCCTTCAGCCGGCTGCTGTAGGAGCAGTGAGGACAGGTGAACGGTTTCTCTCCCCCATGAACGCCCAGGTGACGCCTCAGAGTCAGTTTAGAGGAGAACTTCCTGCTGAGAAGAAATGCCATGACATCACCAGGTCATGTGACTCTGTGCAGTGAGGGATTATGGGTAACGTGGTTACCTGTGGCACAGCGAGCAGCTGAAGCCCATCTGCTTCCCGCTCTCTGCTGTCAGCTGCTCGCCGTCTCCGTTCGTCCTCCTTGTGGTTTTCCTCGTGGTCTCCATGGTGACCGGCCGTGATGCGGCCCGAGCTCTGCTGGCCTGCCTGAAAACAAACACGCACACAGGCTGTGTTCCGATTGGCTGACAGACATTCAAACTGGTTTTTAATCATTTCAGATTCTCTTAGTTCATGGTTTTCCTCCCACTTTCTTAAAGTCAACAGCAACAACTCGGAGCTTCTCCCGGTCGGCTCCAGATGATGGCTATCCAGAGCTAACTGTTTTTCTGTTACTATCAAGAACTCATCAGTTTCTACCTCTCCCTCTGTGAAAAGTTTGGCTGTCATTCTTGACAGTGCACTATCCTTTAACTCTCACTCGCTCAGCATATTTCCAACTCCGCCCCTTCTTCACTCCACATGCGCCTGCTACCCTCGTCCACAGTTACCTGTCGGATCGACTACTGTAACTCGCTCTTACACAAAAATCCATCAACAAGCTTCAGCGTGTCCAGAACGCTGCTGCCCGCATTATTACTAGGACTCACCACTATTCTGAAGCAGCTTCACTGGCCGGCGGTTAAACTTCGCATTAATTTTAAAATACTCCTCTGTACATTTAAGGCAATTCATTCTCTCCACCCACCATACCTCTCTGGTTCGGTACAGATCTCCATCCCATCCTGGTGCCTCAGATCCTCCTCTTCCTGTTCCTTCCTCTCGTCTTGTTTCTATGGGGGACTTTTAGTCGCTCTGCGCCTCCACTTTGGAATCCCCCCCCCGACCTCAGAAACATCACCTCATTCCCTTTTTTTAAAGTCCACCTTCTAAACCCACCTGTTCAAGACAGCCTACTGTAGAGAACCTCTCCATGCTCTTAAACTTTCTTTTATTATCACGTTTATTTCCTGGTTTTATGCCTCTTTTATTTGCTGTACAGTGTCCCTTTTAAATAAAATGTATTATTATTATTATTATTATTATTATTACTATTGTTATTATTACCTGTCAAGAAGCTCCGCCTCCTTACGCTTTGCACGTCCAATCAGCTGGCTCCTCCATCCATCTGCAGAAAACTGATCAGTGTTAGTGTTCTTATTGATTACTGATCGATGGTACAGAGCTGGGCACTCACTGTGTTTCCGTGGTTTTTCAGGAGCGCTTCTCAGCGTGCTGTTTTCGAACTTCCTGTGACAGACCGCCACCGCGGTTTTCTTCTTCTCTTCCCGCTCCCTCCTCCTTTTCCTCCTCTCGCTACAGCGGCTCCTCCAGTGATGCTCCACCTCCTCCCAACTGTCGGCCATCCAGTTGCAGCGCACGCAGCCGAAACCGCCGCTGGCACGGTGTGACCTGACATGGATATCAAGCAGCCGCCGCGACGGCAGTTTTAATGGGCAGAGCAGACACAGCAGGCTGGGGGGCGGAGCCTTCGCTTTGTTGTTGGCACTGCTGTCATGTGGTTGCGTGAGCTGTGTGGACGGTGAGGAAGAAGGAAGAGGAGGAGCTCTGACTGCAGAGATCCGACACAGCCCAAGGGTCATCAGGTGGGCGGACTGCGCCAACTCCTCCTGGGAGGCGGGGGTGTCGGCCAGAGAGGATAAAGTGCTCCCCTTCAGAGTGAAGATGGAGGAGTCCTCCTCCTGCTCCTCTTCCTCTTCCTCAAAGAGTGTGGTGACCTGCATTCAAACCACAAGATTAAGGTGTGGCTACCAGGTGTAAGGACACCTTCAGAATAAAATAAGATAAATAAATCAAAAAATAAATACATTTCAACTTAATTTGAAAAGCTAAATCATAAATAACCGTCTGACTATGAACTTCATATTGTTTCACCTTTTAAAATAAAAGCTCAAAATCATTCTGTTCTCTGTGTGTGTGTGTGTGTGTGAGGTTATCACCTCACAGGTGTGGGCCACCTGCAGCCCGCCCTCACTGCTGATGTCACAGGTAGCCGGGCTCAGGTTGTCCAGCATGTTGTAGAGCAGGAAGTCCTCATCTTCGTCACTCTGCTTTAGCTGATAGGGTGACGCTCCCTGCTGGAGCCCCGCCTCTGCCCCGTCCAGATAGGCGTTGGGGCGGTGCGTGAGCAGCAGGTGGCTGTTAATGGAGGCTTTGATGCCACAAGTGAACTGACAGAGCTTACAGCGATAAAGCTCCACCAGGAAGGACTCCACTAGCCCCGCCCCCACGCCCTCCACCTCAGCACAGTACAGGCTGGAGCTCACAGCTCCGCCCCCCAACTGCAGGGTCACAGGGCTGATGTCACGGTACCGCTGCTTCACCCACGACATCGCTATGACATCACCATGACATCACGGTGTGAGGTCCGTCCTTTGGCCCTGCTGGGACACAGTCAGTGTAAATAGGATTTATCTCAAAAAACCGCCTGAATTCAAACACTGACCAATCAGAGCGCAGCAGAACCGAACATCCGTCCAGATATCAGCAGCAGTCTTCGTTATGCTACTTTATTCCACAGTCCCAGTACTCTGACTACTCTGAGTACTTAGAGTACCAACCCCTCTGCTTGATGACGAAACGTACGTTAAGCGGAATGATTGGCTGATCTAGGGCAGCGCGTTCGCCGTCCGCTTTAGCTAGGCTCGCGCGGGAAATGCAAAGACGCGGAGAAGGCTAGCAGGCTAACGGTGTTTCAGAGCAGGAACGAATCGATACGTCACTAATAGATCAATAAATGAGCTCCCAGGTGAGACTGCGGAGCGTCTCACTAAAACTCACCTGCTCCTCTTTGTTTACATCCGCTCCTATTTCTTCTTCTACGGCTTATTCGGCTCCTCGGAGCCCGCGGCCGCTCTGCTGCCCCCAGAGGAGGCTTTAAAATCGACAGCACAGAACTCAGGCGAGAGCACGAACCACACCGGCTCCCTGTTTTCAGGATTACACAAATCTGTCGGACGTCACACTGTTCAGATTATCAGATTACATGAGATTAACTTCAGTTCACTCTTTCACAATAAAAGCTCCAAATGTTTTGTTTGTTTTAGTTTAAATCTGGCTTTTAAGTCCAGCATGTATCTTTATAACATTTATTTGTTTTTATGTCAGATGATGCTGGGGGGGTCACATGTCTCTATGGTAACCATATGCGTTAACAGCAGAAGAGAAATGAGGAGAAAATCAGGTCACGTGACCTGGCTGTTTTTTCCTGTCTAACAGGAAGTGTTTGACAGACGTCAGTGAAACAGGAATCAGCCGCATAGCGTGACAGCAAGTTCACACTGTGCAGTGTTGCATGACAAGCTGTGACCGCACACTCACAGACACATACACACGTGTTTGCCCACGTTGGTGGTCCTCAGAGCGCTTCTCTCTGTTACATAATCAAGAAGGTTTATCCATAAACACCAGGAATGTCTTAAAGACATAAAGACCTGGATGGCCGCTAACTTTCTGCTTCTTAATTCAGATCAAACTGAGGTTATTGTACTCGGCCCTGAAAATCTTAGAAATATCTAACCAGATTCTTACTCTGGATGGCATTACCTTGGCCTCCAGTAACACTGTGAGGAACCTTGGAGTCATTTTTGACCAGGACATGTCCTTCAATGCACATATTAAACAAATATGTGCAACATTGCTAAAGTCAGAAATATCCTGTCTCAGAGTGACGCTGAAAAACTAGTTCATGCATTTATTACTTCCAGGCTGGACGACTGTAATTCATTATTATCAGGAAGTCCTAAAAACTCCCTGAAAAGCCTTCAGCTAATCCAAAATGCTGCAGCAAGAGTCCTGACAGGGACTAGAAAGAGAGCAGATTTCTCCTGTTTTGGCTTCCTGTTAAATCCAGAATTCAAAATCCTGCTCCTCACATACAAGGTCTTAAATAATCAGGCCCCATCTTATCTTAATGACCTTGTAGTACCATATCACCCTATTAGAGCACTTCGCTCTCGCTCTGCAGGCCTACTTGTTGTTCCTAGAGTATTTAAAAGTAGAATGGGAGGCAGAGCCTTCAGTTTTCAGGCCCCTCTTCTGTGGAACCAGCTTCCAGTTTGGATTCAGGAGACAGACACTATCTCTACTTTCAAGATTAGGCTTCAAACTTTCCTTTTTGCTAAAGCATATAGTTAGGGCTGGACCAGGTGACCCTGAATCCTCCCTTAGTTATGCTGCAATAGATGTAGGCTGCCGGGGGATTCCCAGTGAATCAGGCTCAGTCCCTCCCTAATCCTGGTTCTGTTTTAGAATAGAATAGAATAGAATTCAACTTTATTGTCATCGCCCATGCACAGGTACAGGGCAACGAAATGCAGTTTGCATCCATCCAGAAGTGCTTTAGTGATATAGATATATTACAATATATATTAGCAATAATATAGATATGTGAGTATATTACAGAAATGGGTCTATTATGTTATAATGTACACAGTATGAAGTATGTTGTGAATATTCTATAACTATAAGTATGTACAGGCTGTAGTGAGTACAAGCTATGTACAGGATATGAACAGGATATAAATATGAAAAACTATACAGAAATCTGAGATATACAGCTATACAGAAATGGGAACTATGCAAGTTGTAGACAGTTGTAGGATTAAAGATTATCGTATGTACAGAATGATTATTTACACAGAGCTATACAGTAGTGCAGTTAAGATAAGTGAGGGTGTAGATAGTTTCTACAGAGGCTATAAAGTGCTGGTGGTTGTGAGTGGTGGTTCAGTCCATGTTATTGTTGTGTGTTTGAGGGTACAGTTGTCCATTGTGGGTGTGTGTGTTCAGTCCATGAGTTTAACGTGGGTCAGATGTCAGGAGGCAGAGTTCAGGAGTCTGACAGCTGTGGGGAAGAAGCTGTTCCGGTACCTGGTGGTCTTAGTCCGGAGGCTCCTGTAGTGCCTCCCAGAGGGCAGGAGGGTGAAGAGTCCATGTGATGGGTGACTGGGGTCTTTGATGATTTTCCCAGCCCTTTTCAGACACCGCTTCCTGTAGATGTCTTTTATGGCAGGAAGTGGTGCTCCGGCGATGCGCTGGGCAGTTTTCACGATCCTCTGCAACGCCTTCCGGTCCGAGGCAGAGCAGTTCCCGTACCAGACTGTTATACAGTCTGTTATACAGTTTTAGAGGGAGTTCTTCTGCCTCACTGATTGCGGAGGGGGTGGTGTGGATGTTGGGGTCATCTCTCTGTACTGGGGGTTGTTACCTGTCAGTATGAAGCACGTGTTGTGCACAGGTGACATGACGTGAACTGTGTCCCGGTTTTGTGCTTTCACAGGCTGAAGGTGTGCAGGAGCCCTTTAAGGTAATGTGCTCACAAGTCACGGAAACTGCTGCCAGTCTGTGTTTGTCACCTTAAACAGGAAGTAGAGATAAGCAGAGAAGAACAACATGTTCAGTGTGTGTGACCACAGATACCTCAGTACTACTACCACTCCAGCTGGTACAACACTTCTCACTGCAGACGTGAGGCACCGTGTCGGCCCGGAGCGAGGGGGGGAGGGGGGCGTTTAGGTCAGAGCGAGACAGTCGTGGGTTGTCTCTGATATTAGGGAATGTTTGTTGTCATGGATACAGTGGTCGGCAGGCAGTGAGAGTGATGTTTGAAACAGGAAACGATTTGAATGTGTGTAGTTTTGGTTCAGCGTGGCAGGATGATTCATACAAAGCCCAACAAATCTGACCCCCCCCCCCCAACACTTACACTCATTCTGGGAAGAAGTGTGCTCCCCTCCAGGTGCACAGACCAGGGCCGAATGTCATCATTTCTTCAGTGTGTTTAGCTTTAGCTTTGTGACTTTGTTGTTTTTAAATATTTGTTTGGGTGGCTTTATTTTGAAGGCTACAGTGAAGAGTGACAGGAAAGCAGAGGGACGAGATGCGGCAAAGGGCCGCGGGTTGGATTCAAACCCAGGCCGCCCGCTCTCAGCCATGCGGCATGCCCGCTCTCAGCCATGCGGCATGCCCGCTCTCAGCCATGCG